TTCAGATTTTTCTCAATCACTCCACCAACAGTTTAGAAAGCCTTTTGTCTTGTTACTTTAAAGAGACATGGGACATGGTGATTGTCAATAATGCAAAGATTATGATTTAGGTGCCTATGTTTGTTTACAAATTACTTCAAATATTGAAAAAGCTGAAATAGAGTAGGTAGGTCTTTTGACAAACTTCAGATGACTTTGGATCAAAAAAGGAGGTCATAATAGCTACTAGTATATCAAAACAACCACTTCAAAATATCTTGCCCCTTTAAAGCATACTTTACCAAAGTTTCAGTGACTGTGTGTGTTCTATCAGTCTCAGACTATCAATAGTGATGTTATCAGCTAGGGATGCTTGCGGGCACACAGCTGGGCCTTCCTCTTTGGACAAGCCTCAGGTATTTCCTACCAGAGCCAACACCGAGGCAAAGTGCAAGAAGGCAAAAGCAGGGTTATTCAAGCAGCAGGTTACCTAGGTCACCCAGGGCTTTGTAAATGGGAACTTTAGAGGTGAGGCAGCCTGTCTCTCTACTTGTGCAGCTGCAATACATTTATTCAAGATGGATGCCATTGAAATGGATATCTTATCAATCAAAAAATTATTGTCAGAAACTTACGGTACAATCAAAAAAGCTAATAATCAATGTGAATGTAGATATGCAAAGCTTTGGCCAGATGGGAAGAGGAGTCTCTATTTTACAATTTAAGACCAAGAAAATGTCTTTGTATCTCATACATTATGTATTCAATTCTCGTAGAAGATAGCATCTCAAATAAAAGTATTGATTTCCTACCTTACACAGGTTACCTAGAAGAACCATATGGAGAAACACAATCGTACTGCAGTGAGCAAGGTGACTGAATTTATTCTCATGGGGATCACAGACAGCCCTGGGCTGCAGGCACCTCTCTTCGGAATCTTCCTGGTCATATACTTGATCACAGTGTTGGGCAATCTGGGCATGGTTATCTTGACCCATTTGGACTCCAAGCTACATACCCCCATGTACTTTTTTCTTAGACATTTGTCCATTACTGATCTTGGTTACTCCACTGTCATTGGCCCCAAAATGATGGCAAACTTTGTGGTGCACAAAAATACAATTTCCTACAATTGGTGTGCCACCCAGCTGGCACTGTTTGAGATTTTCATTATCACTGAACTGTTTATTCTATCAGCAATGGCCTATGATCGCTATGTTGCTATCTGCAAACCTCTTCTCTATGTGGTCATCATGGCAGAGAAAGTGCGATGGGTGCTGGTACTCATTCCCTATCTCTACAGTACATTTGTGTCGCTATTTCTCACAATTAAGTTATTTAGGCTGTCCTTCTGTGGCTCTAACATCATCAGTTATTTTTACTGTGACTGTCTCCCTCTAATATCCCTGCTATGTTCTGACACACATGAACTAGAACTGATCATTTTGATCTTTTCAGGCTGTAATTTGCTCTCCTCCCTCTTGATTGTTCTTGTATCCTACATGTTTATTCTTGTGGCTATTCTCCGAATGAAGTCAACTGAGGGGCGGTACAAAGCCTTCTCCACCTGCAGCTCCCATCTGACAGTGGTGGTCGTGTTCTATGGGACCTTATTGTTTATTTACCTGCAACCCAAATCCAGCCATACCTTTGATATTGATAAAATGGCCTCTGTGTTTTACACCCTGGTGATTCCAATGCTGAATCCATTGATCTACAGCCTAAGGAACAAAGAAGTAAAAGATGCACTAAAAAGAACTTTGACTAATCAGTGCAAAATCCCTACTTAAAATCTTAATATTCAGTGGCAACGGTGGGTCTTTGTTTAATGTTCTGTCAGTCCAATTACAGCATCAAAAGTTAGAAATGTTTTACCAGGCTATGTTTTCTTCTTCTTCTGGATAAAACATTTTCTCTGATATCTCCCTGTAGTCTTCTTCACTTCAATCAGATAAATATTGTAGCCAGATAATCAAAGTTTTGAGTTATTTTTCAAGGTCAGAGTTGAAATTATTTAGAAATAAGGAAAATCACATAAAATTTTTGTTTGAATTTAGACTTGCAGAGGTAAACATAAAAAAGTCTTAAATATTTAAAATGGTGTAAAATTAACCAGAAAAAATAGTAATATATATTTTATAGTAGTCACTGTATATTAAAGATAAATAAGATTAAACCAAGAAGAATGTGCAGTGAAGACAGGAGGCAAGAAAGTAAGTAAACGTGTGAATGATGATAACACAGCATGAACAAACTGTTTCAGGAATCTAGGTTTATTAACCATTATCACCCCAATAACTTTAATTTTTAAAAGAACCTAGGCTATATAGGATATAAAGCATGCCACCTCAGAATAACATTTTCAAATCAGATTGAGTTAATAACTTTTATCTCAAGGATACAGTGGGTATATGGGAAGATTTTTTTCACTAGGAACCACAAAAAAGAAAAAAGTCACCTTTGACTGGTCCTCACACTGTGGCTAACTTTGGCTTATGGAAGCCTCCTGGTACACAAGCTCACTTTGGATTAGAAAACTCAAGATAAATGAATTAACTGGCCACCTGCTGGAATGACATCAATATTTTGAACAATCTATAGCAGTAGCAACAAAGATGAAAGATAACTGGTAGAACCCAAGGTGAAATGCATTTTCAGTCATGTCTATTTTGTCTCCTTCATGAGCTCGTGTGCACAGGGACAATATTTTGCATGGACTCAGGTAACACAATGCTTCATTCACATTGTGTCCCACTCAGCTAACGTATAGATTCCTCACATCTTAGTACTCTCCTTGTTGTTCAAATGGCATTATTTAGATTTTTAAAAATATATACATTACCTCAATCATGCTTTTTTCAATCTATTGTCATATTCCAAGTAATAGTTGTGAGGACATTAACCAGTACGTGAACCAAGGTCTCTTTATTTCAAATCCATGCATTTTATTTATTTTCCCCTTTTTGGAATGTACTGGAATTTACTTTATTAAGAGTTGGTCTTAAGTGTTCTTGCCACAAAATAAATGATAAAGAATTTTGGATGATGAATATGGTAATGAGCTTGATTGTTGTAATAATTTCATGATATATATTTGTATATCAAAATATTACATTGTACACCCAAAATAAATATAATTGTTATCAATTGTAATCTCAATAAAACTTGAATTTTTCAACTTTTTTAAAAAATGGAATAAAACAAACTGAACAAACTAAAAGAAATACAAAATTGCATTATCTAATCATATCAGTTGTATTTACCATGGTAGCTTCAGATCCTGTCCCTAAGCACATTTATTGTTATGAATGAATTTTATTTTCTTGACCAACATTTTTATACTATACTTCAAAAACTTGGTCATATATATTTTTTGTCAAATTCTATTACTTCCATTATTTTACATAATCTATGAGTAAAGTTAAATAATATTAATAGCATTCTCCAGTATCATCCATATAGGACAGAATTTAAAAAATGTAATACTAAAGAACTAAACATGGAAGAGCAAATACCAAACTGTTAATGGCAGTTACCTTTGGGGAGCAGAGTGCAATTGGTTGGGAGGGAGGAATAGTGGACATGAAGGGTACACATTCACTTTTTAATCTATATTATTCTGGCTTGCTTGAATTTGTATCAACAAGAATATATTTATTGTATAATTTTAAAATGGTATTTAAAAAGTGTTTTTAAATAGCAAGTTAACTGTGTTGTACAAAAAAAACTGTTAGAATTAATAAACAAATTCTGTAAAGTTGAAGGATACAAAGTCAACATTCAGAAATCAGTGCATTTCCATATGCTAACAATGAACAATATGAAAAAACACTACAAAAACAATTCCCTCTATAATAGCATCAAAAAGAATAAAATACTTGAGAGTAAACTTAACCAAGAAGGTGGAAGACTTGTACATTTAAAACCATAAAATATTGCTAAAGGAAATTAAAGGAGACACAAATAAGTGGAAAGACATCCCTTTTCATTAACTGGAAGATTTATTCTTAAAATGTGCATACCACCCAAACCAATCTACATATTGAATGTAATCTCTATTAGGATCCCAGTGATTTTTTTTTCAGAAGTAGAAAAATCCATTTTAACATTTATATAGAAATTCAAGAAACCCTGAATACGCTGGAAGATTTATTCTTAAAATGTGCATATCACCCAAACCAATCTACACATTGAATGTAATCTCTATTAGGATCCCAATGATTTTTTTTTTCAGAAGTAGAAAAATCCACTTTAACATTTATATAGAAATTCAAGAAACCCTGAATACTAAAAACAAAGATGAAAAAGAACAAAGTTGGAGGTATCACCATGCCTGATTTCAAAACTTGCTAAAAAGTACAGTAATCAAAATGGTGTGGTTCTGGCATAAAGAAAAACATATAGACCAATGAAATAGAACCCAGATCAAAACAACAATGAGGTACCATCTCACACCTGTCAGAATGGCTATCATCAACAAATCAACAAACGACAAGTGCTGGAGAGGATGCAGAGAAAAAGGAACCCTCTTGCACTGCTGGTGGGAATGCAGACTGGTGTAGTCACTGAGGAAAACAGTACGGCATTTCCTCAAAAAATTAAAAATGGAACTTCAATTTGACCTAATAATCTCACTTCTAGGACTACTAGTATATCCCAAGAAAACAGAACCACCAATCAGAAAGGATATATGCACCCCTATGTTCATAGCAGCACAATTTACATAGCTAAAATTTGGAAACAGCTTAAGTGCCCATCAGCAGATGAGTGGATTAAAAACCTA